TCAACGCGGCCTTCGCCAAGCTCCGTGAGTGCCCGGCGGCCCCGGGGGGGGCCGGGGGCGCCCCAGGGCTCCGGGGGGCTCTGGGGCAGTCAGGGGCTCCTTGAGCGTCCGAGGGCACCGTGGGGTGGCCCCTGGGGGCTCCATAGGGTGCCCGGGGGCTCCATGGGGTGCCCGGGGGCTCCATGGGGTGGCCCCTGGGGGCTCCATAGGGTGCCCGGGGGCTCCATGGGGTGGCCCCTGGGGGCTCCATAGGGTGCCCGGGGGCTCCATGGGGTGCCCGGGGGCTCCGGGGGGCAGGCCGGGGCGGGTTCTGGGGCAGTCAGGGGCTCCTTCAGTATCTGGGGGCTCTGTGGGGGCAGCCTGGGGGGGCTCTGTAGGAGCCTAATGTCTCAATGGGGMACCCTTGAGTGTCTGGGGGCTTCACAGGGTCAGCCTGGGATGCCCTACGAGTGACCAGGGGCTCCTTGGGGTGGCCCGGGGGGCTCCTTGAGTGTCTAGGGGCCCCATGCAGCTGCTGAGTGCTCCGTAGGGTGGTCCTGCAGGCTCCGTGAGTGACCAAGGGCTTCGTGGGGTGGCCCTGGGGGATCTGGGAGTGACCGGGGCCCTGTGGGGTGGCCCTGGGGGCCCTGTGACAGTCGGGGGGCTCCGGGCGCGCAGCCCCACGTGCTCCCGCGCAGTRATCCGCTGCCTGGAGGCGGCGCGGCCGGACCGCACGCGCAGCTGGCTCTACGCCGCCTGCTCGCTCTCCTACCTGGGCGCCATGGTCTCCAGCAACTCGGCCCTGCAGTTCGTCAACTACCCGACACAGGTGAAGAGCGGCCGCCGCGCCCGCGCCAAGGCGCCTCGCGAGGCCGTTTTGATGCTGCTTTTCCCACAGCCCCTTCCGTGGGGCCGTGGCTGCGTTTCCCCCAGCAGCCCCGCGCGTCGGGGAGATGGGTTAAGGTTCYCCGAAGGGGAATCGCAGCACCGAGAAGGGGTGGGAATGTGGAACCGGGGCTTGGCGCTGGCCTCGGACCCTCTCTGGGGCCTTGGCTGCTCTTGCTGGAAGGGTCTCTCCCTGCCTGTCCGGGTGCCCTGGTGTTTCTGGTGCGTTTGACCACCGCGTGCCAGGGTGGTTGGGTCCCTCACAGTCGCGTTGCYGTGTGCTCCTTGCTCGTTGTACTCTAACGGTGGTAACGCTGTCGGTTACGGTGGTCTCTCTTTTATAGGTCCTCGGCAAATCTTGTAAGCCCATCCCAGGTAAGCAGGCGTCGCCTCTCCTCTTGTGCGGGTTTCTCATGCTCTGAACCAATCTGTAGACCTAATTTATTGTTTAATCCCTTCTCTCGTGTGTCTGCTGCCACCAGAGGAGTGAGCAGTGCAGTGTCCGTCCAATGTTTTACCATGCAGAATAAATTCCCCCGGGAGGCTTTCAGGAGCCGTTCTCAGCATTGCTTTTCCTTTCCAGTCATGCTGTTAGGAGTGACGTTGCTGCGGAAGAAGTACCCGCTGGCCAAGTATCTCTGCGTCCTCCTCATCGTCACTGGCGTGGCCCTGTTCATGTACAAGCCCAAGAAGGGGGCTGGAAGCGACGAGCACGTTTTTGGCTACGGGGAGCTGCTCCTGGTGAGTGCCGGCACCGTGCAGCCGAGCCGGGGATGTGCCCCRTTTGGAGCAGCTTTGGGAGAAGGGAATGTGCTCTGGAGCTGCTGTTGGCCCTGGCTGCAGCCTCGGCTGGTGCTCACGGGCTGGTGCTTGAGCACAGCCTGAGGCTGCAGAATTGCTGCTTAGCAGGTGCCTGAAATGTAAAGGGAAGACAAAAACAGGGGACTGAAGAGCTCCTCATAAGGAAGAAATAACTTAAGGTTTTCTCTGCTCTTCCCCTTTTCTCTCTCCAGCTGCTGTCTCTGACTCTGGATGGCCTGACGGGTGTATCTCAGGACCACATGAGAGCTCACTACCAAACGGGCTCCAACCACATGATGTTGAACGTTAATCTCTGGTCCACCTTGTTCCTGGGGGCTGGTAAGGAGCAAAACCAGGGCCGCGAGTGCCGAGGCTGCTGTGGGAGGAGACACCGCGTCCTGCGCTGCAGTGTGCGGAACGAGTCCCGCACAAAGACTGTTTTTGCCTTTTGCCTGGAAAATAGAATGCGGATTGCTCCACGTATGTCTGTTAATGTCCGCTAGAGGACACCGCTCCACACACAGCGCAGTTACCCACGTTTTGCTCTCCTGACTTGGTGCTCGCTGGCTCTGTGGTGGCACCCGAAGGGATGTGAGGCCTTGGGGTGGTCTCCTGGGACGAGTTGGCTACTGGGGAAGGTCCCGGCTTCCCTGGCCACGCAAGTTCAGTCTCTGCCCAGCTGTGGATGTAAACAGAGATCGCACCGCGCAGGCAGGGGCTGCTAATTCCTGCGTCTCCCTTTGATTTCTCTCGTAGGGATCCTGTTCACCGGGGAGCTCTGGGAGTTCCTGAGCTTTGCGGAACGCTACCCCAGCATCATTTACAATATCCTGCTGTTTGGCCTCACGAGCGCGCTGGGCCAGGTGAATACGCTCCCCATCCCCATCCTGCACGCTCAGCTGCCACTTACTCTCATACTTCGAAGATACAAAAGTAAATCTGTGTCAGCTCCTCACGCTTGCTTGGTTTTTGTGTAAGAGTAAAGWTGATTTAAATTTGCCTGGCAATAAGCAAGATTTGGAGTGAACTCTTGGCTAGGACTGAGCAACTTCCCTGCAAAAAAAGAGACAATATGAGGACGATACGTGCGTTAACTTTTTCCAGGTTGAATGCTAAAAGACTTTCTTTTTGTTTAACAGAGTTTCATTTTCATGACCGTGGTGTACTTTGGACCTTTGACCTGTTCCATCATCACCACAACACGGAAGTTCTTCACGATTTTAGCATCGGTTATTCTGTTTGCAAATCCCATCAGCAATATGCAGTGGGTGGGGACGGTCCTGGTGTTCTTGGGTAAGTCTGCATAGAAAACGTCCAAGACCTTTCCCTGTTAAGGAGAGACAACGGAGAGAGGGGAGCACAAAGAAAAGAGGCTGGTCAAAAGTCTAATTGTATTAGAGATTCTTCATGAAAAGGTGTCTTTAAAGCCTTACTGGAGCAGGCAAAGAAAAACTAGTCTTCTAGTTCCCACTTTCAAATTCTTAGTAAAATTAATCCCACTCTTAGTAAAATTAATCACTCACACACAATGACCAGCAGTAAGTCGGTACCATTGAGCCTATTTTCATGCAATCTCTTTTGTTGGGTTTGTTTGAAGACTGTGAATGTGCCATGCACGAGGATTATCTTATTTCTTTGCAGGCCTTGGACTCGATGCCAAATTTGGAAAGGGAATGAAGAAGACATCACATTGAGATTTGAGCTCTGCAGAATGAACTTTTAATTTATTGTCTCGTACCTCAAAATCTGTTATGAAACTGGACTCAGGATGGGTAATTAGAAGAGGAGTGTTTGAATTGTTTTTTTTTCTAGGTTTTTTTTTTTAATTCTTAATTGTCTTTAAAGTGTAATACTTTTATTTTAACCGTAATCAAATGTGGGGTTTTGTTTGTTTGTTTTTGTTTTTCCTGTAATCAAAGCTGCATTACTAGATTCTAAGAACAGGATGAAATTCTTGCCTTAACAGGAAGAAACACTTCATATCTTTAATAAAGAAAAGGAGACAATGGTCATTTTTCCAGAGCTTTAATTTCAGTACAGCTGACTGATCTTGAGGAAGAACAACCTTTGGATCTTGCAGCATCCTCTTTTTGAATCTATGTASTGCAAATGCTCCATCTTGCTCCAAGGAGGGACCTGGTTATAGGACAATTTCTTTAGTGAATTTGGTGCCAACTGGAAAGATCCCAGGATTAAAAGGTCGGGATGATGGCAGGACCCTCTCTCCAAAGCAGAGCAGCCAGTCAGAGATTGTTCCATTAGGATYATACATGTAAGCGCTGAGCTGCTCCGTATCCTTCACCTGAGTCCTTCCAGAACAGAAATAACTCTTGGCATATGCAGAAGTTTACAAGAAACCTTTCTGACCGCTGGGGGTCAAATTAATTCTTTTCATCCCCCTTGCTGATGAAGGAACAAGACCCTCTGCTGCTAAAGCCGTGCCAGGGCTGTGTGACAACAGCCTCTAAATATTGAAAGGAGCCTCGTTAATTAAGCACCATCRCCGAGCGCTTTGGAGCACCCGCTCCCCGGCTTGCAGGGGAGGGTTCGTTATCCTAATGATGCCTTCGGAGCTGGAGAGCAAAATTCTCCAAAGAGCAAACTTTACACATGAAAGCATGTTCCTACCAGCTGTCGCTTGGTCTCCATCTGTTCGGTGGCTTTGGCCGTTTGCCCTTCCAGATGGGATCTTGATCTCTTTCCTCAGCGGCTGTTGTGTCTTTTTCCAGCCCCCACCTCACCTGGTGATTCTCCAGTGTTTCTTGCAACTTTTTAGCCTCAAATTTGGTTTTGGTATAATCTGTCTTAGTATCCTATAGCTCTATACTTGAAAAATATGTTTGTGGATTTTTTTAATTAAACTGGAAGATATTGAAGTTTACCCCAAGGAGAGTTTCCTTCCTGTCACCTTCACCCCTTTGCTAACTGTTAGTGTTTTCATAAGTGTGTGGCAGTTCATTTTATTTTGTTTTCTTAATCATGAAACCATAATTTCTCTGGGTTTAAAGGACTTGGCGCTAAGAGACAGAGAGGAGAGTATCTTAAATCTAACCAGTTCCCAAAACTCGGTAAACAAAGCTAGCGAAAAGATCCTACATCACCTCTCAAWTCTGTTCATTTAACAGATTTGCTTTCTCCTCTATTAAATTAGTAATCTCATGTGGGAGTAGACCTGGGTACCCTTGTCACTGTTCAAGTTCAAATAGCTGAAAAAAAATTCCCTTATTCCCTTTAGCATCCATCTCCTCGTGGTCATCTCGAAATTCCCGTTCAAACATTTCACCTGTTTGTGTGTAACTCAGAACAGCAATGACTCAGGTGCTTTTATTCCAGAGCACATGCAGAGAAGTCCAAAGGGAAATCTCTCTTTGATTATTTAAGCAGTAGTTAACCACAGTCGCAAACTGAGGGATGAAAGCTTCCAGCTCCACAAATGCTCCCTTCCTTCCAAGTCTACCTGCAGCTCTAGGAGCGACAGGGTCTTAAGAGTATGAAACAAAAGCCTTGGATTGCTAATTGCTTCCTTAACCATTCAAATTAAACCATAGGTTCAGGGGAGCTCTTCCTCAAGCTCACTGGTTGTCTCCTGCCCTACGATACAGCTGCCTGGAAGTTGGGAGCTTCCTATAGTCTATTTTTGAAGCCAAATGTGGCTCTACCAGTATCTTCAACTCTTCTGTATTCAGAGCACAGATTTAAGGATAAGCCTGCCAAGAAGAAAGAAAATAGAGGAACTGCAGATTTGTCTCCATCCTGATTGCTGCAGGCTCCCTTGACCCACTTTAGCTCCAAAGCCTGTTCCTGGTGGTGTTCCAACGTGGTTCTTGCTGCACCTCCAAATCTTAGTCAATCCAGATTTCTCAAAGGCGGCTCTTGGGTCTAGCCAGAGTCTGAATCCTTCGCATTTCCTTGGACACGTTGCTGTCTTGTCTGCAGACCTCGTGTCCTAGGAGATCCCAGGGGAAGCTACAAAAGCCATTCGGAAGCTCTCCTCAGACCAGCAGGGCCTTCCCTTCTCGGATCATGCTGCAAAACAGGTCCCAGTCTGAGCTGCCAGGAGCGCTGCTGAGATGACCCGGCCTCGCCAGACTGGTTACCCCTTTTGCGAGGCTGCCTGGCGACTTTCCGTGCACGTTGCTGCTTGAGCTGGGCTCTCTCTCTGTGAGTAATGAGCAGTGTCACAGGTAAACTCCAAAGGAACTAGGATCCAGGAGGATTTTCATTTTCTGTGTTATTTATTTCCCTAATAGAACAGTGAGCTGTTCCACTCAAGTGCTTCCTGGGAGGGATAATTGGGTCTTTTTGGGTCTGCTCCTTTTTCTAAACAGTGCAAGTTTCTTCAATGAGATGCAGGGCAGTTCTGTTAAATTGTTAGGAAAGGGCTTAAAAGTAATTGAGATTCATAGTCTACAAAGCATAGAGGGAAATTATCATATTTGAGTGGAATCAAATTAGATATTTAGGAGGTAAATTACTGACTTAAGCCCTCCAAGCGCCAAAGATGAGGGTCAGGCTGACTAGGTGTGAAGTGACTCCATCTTCCGCCTTCTCCTCAATAGGTCCAGATTTCCAGCCCTGACATCTGCCCGTTTATGACTCAGCAAGTTACCAGCAGGGGGAACTCTTATTTCAGTCATTTTCAAGAAATACAAGAAGAAAAACAACAAAAAGCAGTTTCTGCCTAATTAGTGACAGGGTTGACCTCAGTCTTCATGCCCAGAGTGGAAACATAATGCAGAAATCAAGGTCTTCCATTTTGATTCTGCTTTGGTTCTTTTTAACCAGCAGCAAAGACGATGTTGAAACTAAGTCATTAGAAGCTTTAGAATAGCCTGTTTTAGCAGGATAGTCCTTCATTACAAGTGGCGTGTGTATAAATATGTGCCCACCTGTGTGTCCTCTTGTGCTCACGTTCCACAAGCAGCTGGGCTGGTGCGTGGCAACCGTGGGCATTGCAGTCACTCTTTTTGAAAGCCTTTCTGCCAGAATCCTCCCAGGAACCTTGTCAGGTTTTGGTGGTTTGAGGGAGATGAGAAGAGTCATGCACATACTGAGAATAAACAGCAGATCATATTGCTGTGCTGTTTGTGCCTGCTGTCCCTCCAGGAGGAGCTGGCTGATGTATCGGCTAAGAAAGGTGAAGTTTTATTTCATAGCTAACTGAGACGAGGCATCCACAGGGGGAAAACTTGGCAGCTGCTTCCCTTTTTCTTTCATCTTCCCTGTCTTTACTAGCTCCCTCTGCAACTCCATCAACAGATGTTAAAAATATAAGATGTTTAGAGAGCATATAGAATAAGGCAGATGGAACTGTGCGTGCATTCATTTTGCAGGGGTGCCTGTAACTGTGACACGCTGTTCTGGCCACGGGATAGTCAGGACTCGCACCCACAGAAACAGCTTAAGGRATAAGGAAGTGATCGTTACTGCTCCCTAATCAGGGAGTTATCAATGTCAAAGCCAACATTTAAAAACATAAACATATTTTTAAAATGTTCCTTCTTCAAAACCAAGGATTTGTGCTTTGATGCTCAGTTGAGAGTCAGAGTGCCTGGCACAACGTTCATTTTACCAGGCTTGACTCCTCAGACAGCCCAAGGTGTTTCCTCTTCAGGGTTTTCCCTCTAACCCTACAAAATCAATAGTTACTTAAAAGAGATGGCTAAAATTCTTGCAAGGGCAGTAGGGATGGGATATGCATTTAAAATATCAGCTCTTGTAATAAGCACTTTCTTCTTCAGATTCATAGTTCATAACTAATAGAATTTCAGCAACAGTGAGCCAGGGAGGTATTTAAAGAACAGGCAAAACAAAGATAATTACCTCAGAAATGGAGACAGCTGGATATCACACTAAAATGAGGTATTTATGGTTTTAAATATTTTAAAGAAAAAATAAGACTGCACTTAGAGCTTCAGAAATAAAATAGTCATAAGGACTTTTTTTTCTTCTTTTGCTCTGCTTTTCTGCTTGTGCTATCACTCTCAATTCTTTTTGTATATGCATACACATATATGATCCTGAATATTTTTAATATATTTTTATCTTATTTTGGTAAGCTAATAGCCTATTTCCAGAATTTTTATGAGCAGTTAACCTGGTTAAAATAATTTTTAAAAAGTACTTAGAAGATGCTGWGTGGTTTTCATACCCAGGATAGCAGACGTTGAAATATTGATTCATTTAGTACAGATGTWTTGCTCTAAGAATGCAAAAAAGTAACTGTCAGGTTTAAAAAAAATTTTTTTGCAAGCAGGTTCAAGTCTTTGCAAGTCGTCAGTTATCCCAAGAGCAGCACAGATGCACAGCAAGCATGAGGCATTCCCAAGAGCAGTTCCAATACCACAGACCAGATGCTTGAAGAATCCCTAAAAAAAATCCAACCAGGTTAGTCATGGGAATGTTCCAATAATTGAAATGAGGACTAAGCCTTGACCAAAGTTTGAAAAGACAAGTGGGAGTGAGGTGAAATATTTTCTTAATAGGTACACATAATTTTGGGAACGGCAAAAGCAGATTTCCCTAATGTTACACATACACAGGGAGTTTTGTCTGGGGATGAGACTAGGAAAAGCAACCCACACAKTTTAATCAAACCCTTTTAAAACCTGACTATTATATGAGACAACACAGTAATCTTGCAAGAGACCTGGAACATGAATAGAGAGCATAACAGGCCAATTTTGCAACAGCATCTTACAGTTGATTACATAAAGCTGGCCTCCAAAGGACTATTTCCTACCTAAATTAAACATTACAAGACAATAAAATCTCACCCCTCATGTACTCACACAACAGAGATCATTTTCTCCCTCTATT